AGGACCACAGTATAGACACCCAGAGAAAGCAAAAGAGATAATTAAAGAAATGATAACAGATATGAGGGATCGTAATATCATTGAACCATCGACTGCCGCCTGGTTATCCCCCATTGTTCTGGTAACAAAACCCAACGGTTCGAAGCGTATGTGCTTAGATTTTCGTGCGGTCAATAAGCATTTGAAGGTCGACATACAACCCTTGCCACGAATTGACGAATTAGTAGAGAAAGCTGCAGGAAATAAATATTATGCCACATTAGATTTGAAGGATGCATATTATCAGGTCATCCTTAACGACAGCAGCCGAGATCTAACAACTTTTAGCGATGGGTACAATCTATGGAGGTTCACACGCCTTCCGTTTGGACTCTCAGCTAGTCCTGCCGTTTTCACTCGAGAAGTAAACCGAGTATTAGCTCCATTAGCAGTTGAAGACTGGGTACGAAACTATCTTGATGATGTAATAGTATGGGCTCCTGACTTCCCCACCTTGTTGCAGAGACTCACCAGAGTATTTGAGAGATTTGAAGAGATGGGTATTAAACTAAATTTGTCTAAATGTCAATTTGGCCATAAGCAAGTTAAATTCTTAGGACATGTAGTTTCAGAGAGAGGCATTGAGCCTGACCCAGAAAATGTCCAGGCTTTGACTGATTGTAAACCCCCAACTAATGTTAAACAAGTCCGCCAATTTTTGGGTATGTGTGGATTTTACCGTAAGCACGTTCCCGAGTTTGCCAAAGTAGCTTACCCCCTCACTGAGTTAACGAAACAGACTGTTGATTTTGCATGGTCCAGTGAGTGTCAAGAAGCATTTCAGAAGTTAAAGCAAGCACTAGCTTCATACCCAGTTCTTGTCAAGGCCGATATTTATAAACCCTTCGAACTGCATAGTGATGCCAGCAATTTCTGCGTAGGCGCTTCCCTTAATCAGATACAAGAAGATGGCTCTTTGCGACCAGTGGGTTATTTTTCTAGAAAGTTAAAGCCGGCGGAAACTCGTTATTCCACCACAGATAAAGAAGCGTTAGGCATTGTATTAGCGTGCAGGTTCTTCCATCATTTTCTTTGGGGTACGCAGTTTACAATTAAGACAGATCACCAACCTCTAACCTCCGTCTTTAGAAAGAAAACCAAAAGTCAGCGAATGAACCGTTGGATCTTAGAAATGAGAGATTACGCTTATAACATTGAATATAAACCCGGTAGAGCTAATGTAGTGGCTGATGCATTAAGTCGACCAGTCAGAACCTTGAGAAAAGTCATGCACGACCATGTTGCCGCTCAATTTCCCACACTAGAAGGTTTCACACAGGCAGACTTTGGTAAAGAACAACAAAAAGAACCCAGGTGGCAAGAATTAAAACAGTATTTAGCAGGAGGAAAAATTCCACAACATAAGTACCCAAAGGCCACCGTTGATAGCTTTGAAGTAATAAATGGAGTATTGTACCTAGTAAAAGAACAACTCGATAAAGCATTGAAGTATTGTCTCGTAATCCCGCAACATTTACGTAAAGCCGCCTTAGAGTTGGCGCATGACAATGCCACCTCAGGTCATTTAGGACGGTGGAAGACCATCACCCGAGTAGCTAATTTGTTTTATTGGCCTAACTACCGTAAAGATTGTGTTGATTATGTAGCATCATGCGAGACGTGTCAAAGGTTCAAGGGAACTAAGGGACTTACGCAACGTTGGCAAGAATTACCAGTCGTAAGCCAACCACTAGAACGAATTTCGGTGGATTTGACGGACATGCATTCCGGGATCAATGATTACCGATATGTGTTAACGATCATAGATCATTACTCAAGGTTCGTTAACTTCTATCCATTGCGCACGAAGACAACGCAAGAAGTTACCCGTGAATTTGAAAAGTTTGTTAATGTCTTCGGTAGTCCTAAAGTAGTGATTGCGGATAATGGAGGAGAATTTACTGCCGCACAATTCAGGGAGCTCTGTCGATAAACTAACATTCAAGTGTATTTTACCTTGCCTTACCACCCCCGAGGTAACAGTATCACGGAGAGAATGCACCGAACATTTAAGAACATTTTATCAATAATGTGTGAAGATAACCGGCGTCGCTGGCCACGATTCTTGGGTCCGACCCAATATGCGTTGAACACTTCTGTTCACACAACGACTGGAGTGCAGCCACACTTCGCATTCTTCTCCCGGCATGCACAGAGACAAGTGGGAATTGAGTTACCAATAATAGAAAACGAGAGTACTGAAGGGTTGAGAGAAGCTCACAAAGTAATTAAAGAAACTTCTGAACGAATGTCTAGAGAATTCCGGAACGTAGCAAACCGAGATAGAGTCAATCAGACAGTACAGTTAGGGGAAACTGTTTGGGTGAGAGATGAAGTTACTATCCCAGGTACCAGTAGAAAATTAAATGCTAAGTGGAAGGGCCCATATACAGTAACTGAAGTAATACGTAATGGTGCAGCGTATGAGTTAACCCACCTTTCAGATGAGACAGAAGTCATTCGACGAGCAGCAGAAAAGGTGAAAAGATGTATCAACCGAGATATGTTTGTCCATGTAAATGACATCCAGGTTCCCCCTAATGATTCTTCCTCAGAATCAGAGCCTGATGAGAGAGATGCTATACGGGATGAGGAGAGAACAGTAGTTGCTCCTGCTCCCCGATTTCCCGTAAGGATGAGAAAACCAGCGGTTTGTGGTAAAGGGAGAGGTAAAGAATTGATGATTTTTTTTTTATTAAAAGTATTTTGCCGAGGAAGGGTCAATTTGCAGTAAAGACAGAGATTGGAAGAGGTATTGGCAGTTATGCAATCATCTGAAGGGTATCTGTTACTAGTATGAGTAGAGATACCAGTGGTGAATTCTCAAGTTCCGGTTGATAAGTCCTATGTAGGCTGGGTGTTGTTGGTATATAGGTGTAGAGTTCGTGACTTTCAGGGAGTATTCGGGCATATAAATATGGTGCTATTACTTCTACATGGCAAATGCCATAAGTACAGACAGTTTTTGGTTTGGTGGTGTTCTCATGAGGACCGTTTCGTTAGCATTGAATTCTTGGGAATACCCGCTCGTTCGGAGTCCCTGGAATGGTGCTGCCTCTCGCGAGTGCGACACAACTCTTTAGATTAAGGGCAACAAATCATTCCTTTGACTTGATGGGGTCCGTGCGTCTATGTCCTAGCTTGAGAAATCTATGTTAAATCTCAGTGTGTCTAGTAAGCATTTGACCAATCCCGTAAAAGAAACTTTCATAATCTATGAACATTGAAATTTGAGTTCTGTAAGGAATTTTGAGTGTGCACTTTATCTACCGATGTGAGGGTGTATTTTGTAACATGTAACACCATTTATTATTATTATTATATGATATGAGGTATCTAACTCAAATCATTATTATTCTATGATGATGTACTTGACCCCATTTATTATTATATGATATGATGTATGGTATGTTACTAATTGTGGAATTGCCCAGTGTGTTATGTATTCATCTGTAGTACCCATGAAAGAATAACCTGAGAGTATCATGCTCTAATCAAGAAGTGGAGAGGTAATTTGTTACTTGTTAAAGTAAGACCTGAGGGTCCAGTGATGGCTTGTGAATAATAGTACGGAATCTCATGTATCAAGGTAATGATGTCCCAATTGTCTAATAAAGTAATGAGTATTTGGAGGTGTTGAATGAGGTAATAAGCTCTTGAAGTGTTTGATGATTTAATAAGTTAATTGCGGTTCTGTTTAGCCTGAGTGAATCTAAGATGCATCTTCTCCACTCACTTGTTAATAAATATTGAACTAGTAAACTACGAGTATCACCACTCTACTCCTTCTACACATTGGTTCCCAGAAAATAATACTTACTCACGTGCCTAGACATCTACCACACTACCCAACAACTTTCCATGAGTTATGTTATATAATGAAAAGTCTGGGTGGTGGCAGCTACCCTTTGTAAGTAATAAAAAGTGTTGTACACAGAATAACATGGTTCCCCAGACTAACCCATGTATAAGAATAGACATAAAACAAAGTAAACTTCAGAAAGGTAAGAACATTGAAACTGAGAATACAATATATATGAAAGGAAATGAAAAGAAAGAACATTGACTTGGAAAACATAAGCAGAGAAGCATAAGAGTTACTTATATAAGAATATAAGGTATATAGAGATAAAGAACATATAAGTATATAAGCAAGAATATATAAGAATAAGTATATATATATATATATATATATGTAAAGAATTGAAGAAGGATAAGTATATAAAACAGGGTACTCATTGGAAAGAGTGCTACACCTAACATATAAGTATATGAATAAATAGAATACTAACAGAAAAGAATAGCTGGATGGTAAATTATTGAAAAGAGAAAACTCGGCCCGTTACATAGGGTCAGATTTTAGCAAGACATTGGCTGGTGAACGGACACCCTAAGAGTCACTACAGTTCTTCAGTATTTAATCTATCCTATTTATATTCTGATATCGTAAGGGATAATAACTACAGCACTCTGCTTTGATCAATCATAATTTCCGCAATTGGGAAAGCAGAGATTAGCGTGTGAAACGCACTGGTAATACAAATATCAAGAAAACAAATTCGGGGACTTAAACTCCTCCCCCTGAGACGTCACGTAGCGCTGTGAAGGGTGTTGCTGAAATTTTCTCTCTATAGATCTAGTGCTATAACTCCTACCGTTAACACCAAGATGATATTATTCTCAAGGGCCTAATGCTACAACCCCTACTGTTAACACCAAGATGATATTATTCTCGTAGGCCTAGTGCTATAACTCCTACCATTAACACCAGGATGATATTATCTCTTAATCAGAGATATAGGTCCACTTACTTGGTGGAGAGAGTAACGGTGTGGTACACGTCTGCGGTGAGGGGTTCTCAATGGTATCCTTATAACAAAGGAGGTCTGGGACCGTTGCTAACGTGATGATTTAATTTAAACTACAAAAACAATTCCCCAAATAGTATTAAGAGACTATACCTTAACTAGGGATGCCCTCTTCACTCCAGCCACGAGAAAATAACGTAGAGAATCTGCGTAGCTCCTGACCCTGGGTGTGGTGCTGTTGGTCACCCTGGATGGCAGATCTCGCTGTTCATGTGTATCAGTCAGCTTCCGGGCTGCGACTGTCCTCCGTCCAACCTTCGTGCACCTTGATGCTTCTCCCTCTGTCCGCAGGGAAAATATACCACACTCTTCTAGACTTCCTGTGTGGGTAGGTTCTTCGTCCCTCGATGTGGAGGGTCGTGTGACTGTGGTGGAACCCTCTGTCTGCCCCAGGGAGGTGTAGGTACCGTCTGCCCTGCAAGTCACTACTTGGCAACTCTGCCACATCTGGTTGTTTCAGGGATCACGTCTCCATTAGTATGTACTTAAGCAAGCGCTTCTACACCTGCGTCACTGACTGCACCAATCTCACCAGTCATCGGTATGCACACTAGCAAGTACTTCTCTGAAAATCAGCTTAAGTGATCATTAAATCAACACTGTGTTGTCTAATGTCATCAGATTTAATTTTTAATTCAAGTGGAGTGAGGCTAAAAGGAATTGGATCTTGCAGTTTCATGAACTTAGATTTACCGCAGTGAATGTCAGCTCCTGATGTAGTGCGAGGTCATGGTGTAACAAACATGTATCATGTGAGCGAGCTGTAACTAAAATAGTTAGAATTATTACACGTTGAGTCTTACTGTAGTATTATGATGTACCAGACACTATAAGTTAAGTGATAAGGTTTCGAGTTATGATTCATTTAAAATCGGTATAGAATTTAGTTTAGATAATTCTCGTCATAAGTTATAGTTTGTGCAAAGTATCAACAACGATATTGGCGGGAATTTATATATATTTTTGCAAAGTTTGTGGTTGTAGTATCTACCCCCAATATTTGGCCAAATCATTTTGTGTTCGTAACATCACACCACTTATTATTAGTTATATATAAATATATTTCATTCTCACATTATTTCGTTGTTGCGTTTAAAAATATTTTTTTAATTATTAAATTCAAATTGAACGACAGAGAGAGTACTAACACACACTGTGAACATTCACACACACACAGACAGCCTAACAGAGTTTATTAGGAAAATTCAGTTTAACTAAGTTAGAGTTATTAAAGAGACACTTTTCTTGCTTCTATGGCAACAAAGCCATCAATCACATTGTCTAGTTCAGAGAGTTTGCTATTTTCTCTTTTATAGATGACATAGCCATGTTAGATAGTTCTTGGTTATTGATGAACACAAGTGGTTTTAAGTTAGTTTCAGTTTGTTAAAACTGTGCTCACAGGAAGCAACCGTAATTGGAAGCATGAAGAATATCCTCATAGCTACATCAGCATTGGGTTAGGCATTTTTCAAGAGAATAAGTATGAATGATGTTCAAAATATCCATTGGAGAAACAGCTGATAAATCTCCAGGAAAGGTGAGCGAATGGACTTCCTCAAATTTTCACACCAGGATATAAGTAATTGAAAATCTAAGCACCCTTCAGGATAACATCTGTTAATGGTATAAACCAATATTGTCCCTATTATACAGGTACATTTTTAATCAATTCGCTGACAAGTAAACTCATAAATAATTAAACTAAGAAGTATAAAATTTGAAATGCAATTTTGGCGCCTCCCTCACTTTGGATCACTGGACAGCTGCCCCTTATAGCTACGTCCCTGTTAACCAGATTGATGACCAATTACTAATTACACTTACATGTACTTAACTCTAACAAAATTCCTTATGTATCACGCGCACATTGTTATTACAATTTATTTTCACTGTAATCTTATATAGTAGACTTTGGTTCTGATGGGCGCACATATGACCTGTTTGTTCTAGCAACCAAAGATGCCATCGGCGAACAGTACATTATTCATATTTTTTCTCACTGTACAACCTAACTTATGTTTCAGCTAGGCTTCACCAGCAGACCACCGTACATGTTACCCCAGGGCACCGGCTACATGGGCTTGGTTTCGCATATCATAAGTAGTGAAATTCATCGAGGATATATTCTCCAATACTTTATTTAAGAGGAGGTTATAACTAAGGATATTACAAAAGTTATGACAATATAAACAAATTTGATAAAAATACTGGCTAAAGACGCAACTTACAGAACCTTACTTTTGATCAGTGTTGCCAACCGTAGGGTAATTATCCTACGCGTATGGTAATTAAGCCTCATTTGCTGGTCTTTAAGGCGGTAGGGTATTTTTTGCAAAATCAGAGCAAAACGTAGGGTAATTATGAATTTTTCATACAGACTAAGGAGAAGTACAAAACAATGGGTAATCCACTCTCACCTGTATTAAGCAACCTATATATGGAATTCTTTGAAAAACAATTATTAAGTAATATTTTACCACCTTCAACAGTCTGGTTTAGATATGTTGATGATGTATTATGTCTCTGACCATGTAATGAGGACCTAAAAGCTTTCCTGCCACTACTTAACAACTTAGCCCCCTTGATCAAATTCACTGTGGAATTAGAGCATGACTGTAAATTGCCTTTCCTAGACTGTCTGATCCACAGAATAGGTAACACCTTTAAGTTCAGTATTTATAGGAAACCTACTAATATGTGTTCATACATTCATTATTATTCTGCCCACCATAATAGAGTCAAACAGTCAGTATTTTCATCAATGTTTTTACGTGCTTTGAGAATTTGCAGCCCGGAATTCATTGATGAGGAATATAAATATATATATATAATATTGGCTTGAACCTTAAGTACCCTAGATCTTTTATAGACAAATGCCTTAACATTACTAAGAAATCTTTCTAAAGAACCGATCTCAAGCCAACCCATGGCCATAAGAATTTCTTAGTATTCACAAAAATTTCTCTCAAATTCCTTTACAACTAAACACCTGGAACGTCAATGTGGCATTTAAAAACTCATGCACTGTTAAAAAAAATGTTAATCATGAACTCCCCCAACAATACAAGTGGCTGCATTTATAATGTTCCTTGCAAGGAATGTAATATGTTTTACTTAGGCCAGACAGGTAAAGATCTTGTAACTAGACTTAAACAACATAAATATAGTGTTAGGACAGGCCAGGAATCCAATGCTCTGTTTGTTCATTTGAGGGATAATAAGCATTGCATTGACTGGGATAATGCCTCCTCAATATTACCTTGTAACTCAATTGACAGTAGGAACATCATAGAATCTAGTCTCATTAAACATATCGAATCAGTCAACACGAATTTGAGTAATGGTATGTACAAACTTGATAATTTCGTAATTAAGAAGATTTGTAACCAGGTGAGAAGGTTGGGTCAGCTTGCCCTCTGACCTGACTACCGACTGCTGCGGTGCTTTTTTGAAGATTAACTTGCATTCCCTAGAAAGACGAAGAGTGCGGGGAGATATGATAGAAGTATTTAAGTGGGTGAAAGGAATCAATAAAGGGGATATAGATAAAGTTCTTATAATATCCGAGCAGGATAGGACTCGGAGCAACGGATTCAAGTTGGATAAGTTTAGGTTTAGGAGGGAGATAGGAAGAAACTGGTTCACAAATAGGGTGGTGGACGAGTGGAACAAGCTTAGCAACTTTGTAGTAAGTGCGGGAACTCTGGAAAGTTTCAAAAGGAGGCTAGATAGATTCATGGATGATAGAGAGTGGTAGTAACTCTCGACAGGAGCTGCCATGCACAGGCCAACCGGCCTATTGCAGACTCCTTATTTTCTTATGTTCTTATGTTCTTATATATATATATATATATATATATATATATATATATATATATATATATATATATATATATATATATATATATATATATATATTCGGAAAGGGACTTGTCCAAAAAGGGTTGATTTTTTCTCTATTATCCTCTTCTCTGTCAAAAGACGAACTTTGCCTCAACGATAAGTAATTATAGTCACCCGTCATTACAGAAAATGTTTCTCATGAATCTGGCAGCTGACAGTGCATCAGCTGCAGGCACTGCCTTTGTAAACATAAACAGGAGTCGGACAGGACTAGATGTGAGCACGCTGTCATCTTCTTTGGTAATTGGACTGTATTAACAGTATTATGCCTGTGTAACCCCTTTATTTAGTACTGTGTTAACGGGGCAACATAGTGGCAGCATGAGTGATTCCCCTTCTACACCCATAAAGAAAAGACGTTACAGTGGGGAGCTAGATAAAGAAGAAAAGGAAACTCCCAGGAAACAAAGGTTTAGAGATGTATGGCTACAGGTACGAACCGCAAGCTATTTTAAACATATTTAAGTGAATTATTTTGTTTGTTTAATTTTGTATTTTTCTGATGATTCATTTCGGGTCCATTATGCTTCACCAGTCTTTGGGTATCAGTAACTGTTTTGAAGATAAGAAAGTGGATATATTATCATAGAAGGAAATGTAACATAGGCTAATGTATTTCAGAATGCCGAATTCAAACCAAGCTTTTACAAATGATCCCTTTCGAGCGAGTTGCAGAGCTTGTGATGTCAAGCTCACTGCTGGCCATAGTGAAATAAAGAGGCATAGTGAAAGCTCAGTGCACAAGAAAAGAATGTTGAGTTTTAGAAAGCAGCAGTTTCTTAGTAGCTGGATCCGTCCTAGTACAAGTATCTCGATGACAGATGGACAAGAATGTTAAATTTGCTGAGATCAATTTAGCTTCACTTTTCTGTGAGCATAACATTTCCATGAAATAAATTGACCACTTATCACAGATGTTAAAAGAGATATTTCCAGATTCGGAAATTGCTAAGAATGTCAACCTGCACAGAACCAAATGTACTAGTATTGTAAAAAATGTACTAGGGAAGACAGAAACAAATAGCCTCAGTTCTGAGTTAAAGAACAACAAGTTTTCAATTCTCATAGACGAAGGAACAGATATTGCTCAGACAAAACTAATTGCACGTGTTGTCAAATATTTTTCTGATGTCCAAAATGATGTTGTTACTCAGTTGCTGGAAGTTATTTCACGTGATGCACGACATTGTTCCTCAGAGTCAGTTGCAAATGCAGTCAGAAAATGCTTTGAGGAGAAAGACATTCCCCTTCACGATATGATAGGAATGGCTGCTGATAATGCTTGCGTCATGGTAAGAGAACATAATTCTGTAATGACAAAATTAAGACAGGAATCTGATAGAAGTTTCACAATGTTGAGGTGTATTTGTCATTGTATGCACATTGCTGCAAGTAAAGCAGCTCTCAAGCTACCTACCAGTGTAGAAGCTTTCATTAGGAATATTTTCAGCTAATTTGGGCATAACTCAAAACGGCAGGCACACCTTTTAGAATTACA